CATCGGAAATGGTCAGCGTAGGAGAAGCAACAGGAATAGCTCTCCGGACACATGACCTCGAAGGGAACGGTAGAACGGGGGAAGCAGAGAGCTGTCCAGCATTAGCTGCTTCCGAAGCACTTGAAGGCCCCTGCCACCATGGGAAAGGAAGGCAATTGCCGATTCAGCAAGGCTCCACGCCACAGGCTGTTCTGCTGAAGCCTCTGCATTACTTTTGAGTATAAAATTTAAATTGGATACTACTAAACCAGAGGAAGAGGGAATAGGAATAGGCTTATAGGGGACTGCAGTGGTGTATGAGGTGAGGAGTAATGAGCAGAGCTCGAGACCTTGAGCCAGCCCTGGGTGGATTAGAGGGTGGTTGGGCCCTGCTCCAAGGATTTGCTAAACAATGAGGCTGTGAACAGTCAGAGGCAATGAAGCTGCAGCTTCATTTTTAGCTTAATTTTCTTCATTTTGAGCTGCATCTCGTTTTTATTAATTTGAAGAGAAAAACTACATGTAAATTTGTGGTATTTTCAAGGTGCAACCCGTAATGTTGCTGTTGATGGCAGTGGTGAAAACGGTGGTTTTCCTTGGCTCTTGCTTCTCCATCCCTTTTCATTATCATGTAATCAAATATAAGCTCCTTGTTTACATATTCATGTTCCCATTTTTTTAAAGTGCAAATCAGTACAGTATTAGTTTTTCATTTTACAGCAGCTTCCCAGGGAGCTCAAGTAAGCAGGTGTGGGGAAGAACCTTCCTTGAGATCAGTGGCCCTTTGTACTTTCATATTTGCAAAATGCTACCGAGGCTTGAGACTAAGTCTTGCCGCTGTAAGCCTCTGTACCCTATCTGTTTCAAATTAATTCTGCTAACTTGGCCACTGGAGAAATCATGGAGTGCTTGAACTGTAGTCTCGGGAGGTGTTCCCAGTTGGCTCTACCCTTACGCAACAGCCGTGTTTGCTCACGATCTATTCAGATCAGTAGGAGGAGGAAGAAAAGATGGGTGTATTTCTGAAATCCCAATTCCCCTACAAGGGGCAGAGTACGGATGTGGAATATGAAATCAAGTATTTCACCATTCTGCACCTTATTATATTTTTTTAAACCACTGGGATACTTGCGGTAGTTTTGGTTGCATTTTGGGTTTACTTCAGTAATTTTGGTTTTGTTAATAAAGGGATTTGGTTGTGCAGTGTCCTGGTTTATAGGAGCTTGGAGGGAATTAAAAAGGCTCTAGCTCAAGCTTTTAATAACCGAATTCTCTTGTAATCCTATGAAGCCAGGAGCAAATCGGCAAGTAGCTCGATACACACAGGGTGAAAGTACACGGCGCTGTGTCTCCTTGTTGTGAGGCAGCGCCCCCTTACCCATGTGGCTCTCGCTGGCCTTGCTTGCCTGGAGCCGGGCTTCGCCGCACGGCTTCGCCTTCTGCTTGCCAGGACGAGGTCTGAAAGCAGTAATTTGACGCTTCACGTGGCTGAAACGTTCCCGGTTATTTATCTTCATGCGGCCTGGCCCGGAGAGCTGCGTCCGCGCAGCTTTTTCCCCTCCTGCCATCTTGCCTTCAGCCTACCGCCTGCTCCTCGCCGCCCCGGGTAACAGCTGAGCGTGATGGCGCCGCGGGC